TTTAAAAATATACATCCAAGTGGCGGCTATGTGGCACAGTGGATAGAGCTCTGGCCTTGAAGTCAAGAGGACCTGAGTTCAAATTCAGACTTAGACACTTGGCATTTAATAGCTGTGTGACCCTGGGCAAGTCACTTAACCCAGATTGCCTCACCAAAAAAAGTAAAAAAAAACATCCATTTTATTAAGATTGTCAGTTTTATTCCTATTGATAATTTCACTTTCTTCTTTAACATAAAATTAATTAAATGGCTATCTATTTTGTTGTTGTTCTTCATCTTAAAAAACAGTTCTTAGTTTAACTTGTTAGTTCATTTTTTAAACATTTTTTTGGTAAACCTCTGATTTTCAGGATTTATGTTTTGGTGTTTAATTGAGGGGGAGGGTGTTAGTTTTTTTAATAGTTTTTTTTTAGTTGCATGCCCAATTCATTGATTGGTCCTTCCTCCTTTCCTTCTCTATTTCTCCTTTTCAGTTAAGTTTAATTTTTGCTTCAAAGGTGCTTTGTTGAATGTATTTTTATTGCATTATGGTTAGAAAAATTCATTTAATATTTCTGCTTTCTTGAATTTCTGAGGTTTTTATACCCTAATAAAATAGATCATTTTTGTGAAGGTGCCATGAACTCCTTTCTCTTACCATTTATATCCAACTTATCTAAAAAAAAATTCATTTCATTCATTTCTTTCTCGTTTATTTTATGTTTGGATTTATCTAGGTTTGAGATGGGTAAGTTGAGGTTCCCCACTATTATAGTCTTATTGTCAATCTCCTCTTATATCTCATTTAACTTTTCCATTAAGAATTTAGATACTATAGCATTTAGTACAGATATGTTCAGGATTATATTAATTTGTTGTCTGTGGTGACTTTTATCAAACATATAGTTTTCCCTGTTTACTTCTTTTAAATAGGTTTATCTTTGCTTTTGCTTTTTTCTGAGACTCTTCTTACTACCCCTGCCTTTTTGTTTCAGCTGATGTATAAAAGATTCTGCTCTAGGCTTTTATTTTAACCCTATGTGTTTCTGTTTCAGGTGTGTTTCTTGTAAACAACATATTGTTGGATTATGGTTTTTAATCTAATCTGTTATTCTGTTCTGTTTTATGAGTGAGTTCATGCCCATTCACATTCACTTTCTCTATTTTCCTTCATCCTATTCTCTTTTATCTTTCCTCCTCTTTCTTTACCCTGCCAACTCTAAGAGTGTTTTTCTTCTGTGCACCATCATATCCTTTATTCTTCCTTTATCCCCTCTGGCCTTTTTTCTTAACTCCTTTCCTTCCTACTTCCCTGTTGGGTAAGTTGAGTTAAGTTTCTGTACCCAAATGTGGATGTATAAATGTGTATATGTGTTTTTCCCTACTTGAACCAGTTTAGATAAGAGTGAGGTTTAAGTGTTGCCCATTCCCCTCCCATTGCCCCCTCTATTGCATAACTCTTCCTTGCCCATCCCATTCATGTAAGATGATTTCTCCCATGTTCTTCTTCTTCTCCCCCTATATATTCCTTGTCCTCATACTTCCATTCTTCATTTGAGATTACCCAAATATAATAGAATGATTCCTTGACCCTCTGTCTAATTAGACCCTTCCAAAACCTCTGGTGATTTAAAGTTCTTGTTGCATATGTCATCTCTCCTTACAAAAATTGACCATTTAACTTCATTTGATTCTTTATGATTTCTCACTCACATTTGCATTTTTATGCTTCTCTTGAGCCCTGTGTTTATATGTCATTTTAAAAATTCAGCTCAAGTCTTTTCATCAAGAATGCTTGAAAGACCTCTATTTCATTAATTGCCCATTTTTCATTCAGGAGGATTAATTTAGTTTTTCTGGGTAGGTTGTCCATGGTAATTCTAGATCATCTACCTGCACAAAATATCATATTTGTAGCTTTCTGTTCCTTTATTGTGATAGCTAATAAATCTTATATGAACCTGACTGTACGGTACCTGGTTCCTCAGTACTTGAACTGCTTGTTTTTGGCTGCTTTCAATACTTACTCCTTGACCTGGGGAGTTCCAGATTTTGATTGTGGTATTCCTGGGAGCTTTCATTTTGGAATTTCTTTCAGGAGATGACTGATGGAATCTTTCCATTTTTACTATGCCCCCTTGTTTTAAGATATTTTGGTGGTTTTCCTTTATTATATTTTGAAATGTGTTATCTATGTTTTTTTGTCCAATGGTTCTTAAATTATCTCTCCTCGATCTATTTTTCAATCCATCAATCAATAAACATTTATTAGGCATCTGCTTTGTGCTATGCACTGTGCTAAGCATTGGGGATACATAAAAAGCCCTCAAGAAGTTTACAAGTCATTTTTCTTATCAGGTATTTTTGCATTTTCTTCTATTCTTTTCAGTCTTTTGACTTTTTTCATTATTTTTCAATGCCTCATGGAGTAATTAGTTTCCATTTGGCCAATTCTAATTTTTAAGGAGCTATTTTCTTCAGAAATACATTGTGCTTATTTTACAAAGCTATCAATTCTCTTTTCCTAACCTTTTTGTATGGCTTACATTTCTTTTCCATTTTTTCTACCATTTGCATTTGTTTTTTAAAATAGTTTTTGTTCTTTTTAATCTCTTTAACACTTCAAGGAATTCTTGTTAGGCATGTGTCCAACCTGCATTTTTTTCCTTTGAGGCTTTGCTTGTAGATATTTTCAAGTCATTGTTTTCTTATGTGTTTGTTACTTGAGCTTTCTTACCACCATAGTAATTCTTTATAGTCAAGTACTTTTTTTCCTCATTCTTTCAGCCTACTTCTGATTTTGGACTTTGTATCAGTGTTTGGTTCTTTTCATTTATTGGGGGAGATATCTGCCTGAGCTTCTGTCCTTCAATGTCCTTCTACTGTTTTCATAGCTTATTCTGGAGTCATGCAAGTTTTCGGTGCTTTCCAAAGTGGTATGATCCGTTAAGAGCTCTATTCACTGTCATCTTGATCTGAGTTTCACAAATTTTTGTTTCAGGTTTACGTCTGTTGGCTTGTGTATAGTTGAGTTCCAATAGACTCCTGCTGTACTCACTGCTATCCAACTGGAATATTCTGCAGGTTCATAGTGATTGAATTATTGGCTTCCCTTTGGTCTTGGTCTCCTGCCTTAGTTATTCCACTGCTGGCTCATATGCTGGACTATAAGTTGGAATTGAGTCACTGCCTTGTTTCTGGGCTCAGAGACTCATAGTTATGTTTCTCAAATTTGTTCTTTGCTCAGTGTACAGCCATGGATGGCCCTGATGGCTCACAACTGCTCCTCTCTGCTCTAGACCTATAACCTATAATTAGGAAATGGACAACAGAGATATCATATAGTGCCTTTTCTTGCTCTCAGCACTAATTTAGGTGTGTGCTGGGATTGCTTTCTGTTCTATTTTTTTTATTTGTTTGTTTGTTTTTCCCCTGTTACTCTGTTTTGGTTACCTTTCCATCCCTGGGTACTGGAAAACTCCCTGTCTTTACCATCACTATTGTTGAGTTCTGCTCCTTGGCAGGCCCTACTCCAGTATTCACAGACTTCTATGTCTTCCTAAGCTACTGTGGGCTGGGACAATGACTCACTGTGACTTTTTCTTGGTTTTCTGGATGAAAATTCGATCTGGTATGTTTTCTAGGTAGTTGTAAAGGAGGTGAGCTGAGTGAGTAAGGCAAAAAAATGCTTCCTCTCACTCTGCCATCTTGCCTCCTCTTCTTGTTCACTTCTTTTCTTAGGCAAATTGCTTACAGTCTTCAGACCTTGATTTCTTCAGTTGTAAAATGAGGAAGTTATACTTGATGACCTACAAGGTCTAGATCTATAAGCTTTTTGTCATATTGTTTGACCTTTTCTGGATGCTCTCTACCTTAGTTTCTGTCCTAAAATGTTGTGCTCCAAACTGAATGCAACATTCCAGATGTGGTCTGGCTAGGGTAGAATATTGCAAGACTATGATTACTACTAGAAATTATGCCTCTTTCAATATAACCTGAAATTGCATTCACTTTTTTTTTTCCTTTCAGATCACACTGTTGACTCATATTTAGAATGCACCCCCATTAAAATCCACAGATTTCTGTTTAGGCAAAGTGTCACATTATTATGTCTCTCCCATCTTTATCTTTGCTACTTGATTATTGAACCTGTGTTAGGCTTTTCATTCATTCCCATTAAATTTCATCTCAATTGATTCAGTCCAGGGTTCTATCCTATTAAATACTTTTTGGATATCACCTATTATTAAATACATACTAAGTGAAAAATGCTGTAATAGTCACTGGAGATGCAAAGATGAAAGACAAAACAGTCCCTACTGTCCAGGGACACATCCTTCAATAATTCTATGGATTCATGGTCACATCAATGTAAAGACTCCCTACAGTGGTGCATAAAATAACCCATCATCTTTTGTGCTATTGTTGTCCACATGCTCTCCTACTTTAAGGGAAGATGTGGACAAGAACTCTATGTACTAGAAGCTTTCTCTAAATCTTTAAATCTTACAGATAAGGTAATATATCTCTTATGTTATTGAAGCTTTGTATCTCTTATTCCCCACTATAATGATAAGAAAGAAAAAAAAATGTAACCTAATAAATCAGGCACTGAGTATTTTGTTCTGCTTATTTGCTGGGTACTTAAGTTTTTAGGCCAAAAGGCATTGACTCCCTTACTGTACAAGTGAGAGCTAATATTTGTATGTAGTGACAGCCTATATATTTATTGAAATTTGAGCAGTGTCTTACAAATTTATCTTTGTATGTACCCCAAAAAATCATTTCTTATGGTTAATGGCACAGAGATAATTGTGGAAATATAGAACTTGTATTTAGCAAAAATAGCTTTAGAAAAATCATTTACATGTCCTTATGTAGCTTTATACATTACATCTATTAATTTCTTGTTATAATTTTTAAGTGAGCAGTCCAATCACTAGTTACATTGTAGGCAACATTTCTAATCACATGAATTCAACATCTCCTGAATTATGCTTTTCTTTGCATTCTCTTCAGCATGTTATTTGGCATTTGATTGGTTTGGAGTGAAGGCTGTAGAGACCACTAGCACCGATCTGAATTACTGAATATAATACTACCATGGAAAAAAACAAGAGTGATCTGCTTTCGCGGAGCAAAAGTGTAAGTTTTTGTTTGTTTGTTTTTCCATGATATACATTCACCCTTTGGCCCAAGTCATGAATTGCTTTTCTTCTTTGTGGAATTTGATTATTGTGATAATGTAACAAAGTTTGCTAAGTTTCTGTTTTCTGATTGTGTGTTACTCATGAGAATCACGCCTCAGTATGAACGGGTGAAGTACTGTTTGTGGTATTGTGCCTACAGTGACTTAGTTGACATTTCAATGGACAATACTGTCCAGCTAATTTGAATACATTAATATGAATTAGTACCCACTGTGGAGGGATACTGTATATGAATGTGTACTCATGTATACAGAGAAACCAACTATGGGTATAATTTTGCTTCTGAAACATGGAGCTTTCTGAGAAGTCAGAACATACAGAGCCTGCCAGGGCTCAGAATGATAAGGTTCCCAGCTCTCTAAATCCAACATTTTTTCCCAATGGTGAGCAATGGAAAAGCCTTTGTATTTAGATTCAGATGATCTAGGATCAAACCCCACTTCTGGACTTCCAACTGATAGAACATTTGACAATTTACATCCTCTCTGAACTCCATTTTCTGATCTGTAAAATGAGTGTTAGACAAAATGATGCCCCTTCCAACTCCAAATCTATCATTCTTTGATCAAAAGTGTCAGATCACAGGGAGTGTATATTGTGATCAACAGATTGGTGTTTTGGGTATTGATGTGTTTATAATGCTGGTATGTGCCATCTTGTTAGCCACTTTATGTTGCTGGTCTGTGCTACCTAGTGAGTGTCAGGCTGATGGGATAGTAGGGATTAGACATTTAGACATGCATTCTCAGATAGTGGCAGCTGTACTCTAGTATCAGAGGGGATGCACATTAAGGTGCCAGTGGGAGGGAGAAGAATTTTGGCAGTGGAAAACAGAGCAAGAGTCCAATACCAGTTGGGGAGGCAGAGTATGGGGGAGAGAGAGTTGAAATCAGCAAGGAGTCAGAGGCACTGACTGGTTGTTCCTATTAGAGAAGGTCAATACTGAATTAAAGTTAAGGAGAAAAAAGCAACTTGGAGAACAGGCACTGAAATTGACCATGCTTGCTTCTCAGTTAACTTTTTTACCTGTTCAATGGGCTTTTGACCTCTTTGAGTGAATGTTGACCCCTCCCTTCTGCTTTTTCAAGTAGCAACACACATAGATTAGACGAGCTTTTATTTAAATAGCTTTTAAAAGTTAAATAACATTAAATTTTTCACTAACCTTACTAAATTTTTGTAATCTCATGGACCCCAGGATAGTTTTTCTACTTCTGTTAGTCAACAAAATATAATAAAGACAACCATACCTAGAAAGAGTAGTCTGTATTTATTGTCTGTGCTTTCTCACTATCTCTTCTTCAACTCCTTTTAATCCAATTTCCCTCTTTACCACTGGCAACAAGCATGTATTATGTACCCTGTACTGTGCTGAGTGCTAGGAGTACAAAGAATACCAAAAACACAGTCTGTACCCTCAAAAAGCTCACATTCTAATGGAGGAGACAGTGTGAAAATAACTATGCAGTATAAGATGTATACAGAGTAAATGGGAGGGAATCCCAGAGGGAAGGCACTGGGATGAGAGTGAAGGTGAGAGGAACCAAGAGTTTCTGCAGAAGCTAGGATTTGAGTTGAGTCCTGAAGGAGGCAGAGAAAATAAAAGAGAATATTCTAGGTGAGGGCGACAGCTATTAAAAAGGCACAGAGTTGGGAGACAGAGGGTTGTGGGTGAGGAGGAGCAAGAAGGCCCATGTCACTGAATTGTAGAGTGTGTAGAGGTATGTAAAAGGTAGTAAGACTGGATAGATGGGAAGTGGCCAGATTGTGGACATCTTTAGATCTGAAACAGTGTTTTATATTTGATCTTAGAGGTACTGGAGATTTTTGAGAAGAGTAAATGGGATGATATGACTAGGCCTGGGCTTTGGGAACATCACTTAGCCGAGTGGAGACTGATTAGAGAGAAGACCTGAATCAAGGACACCAGCTAGAAGACTATGGAATAGTCCACATGAGAGGTGCTGAAGGCCTTTACTAGGGTTGTGGCAATGTGATCGGATAGAAGAGGATGCACATCAGAGACATAGGGAAGGTATTGGCAATGGATATACTAAGTGGGATATGAGTGAGTGGGAATCAATACAACACCAAACTTGTAAGCTTGAATGACTAGCAGCATAGGGAGGCCAAGTGCAGAAACTGTAAGTTACAAATCTAAATGTGAACAAGATCTGCAAAGTACTTCTTTCTCTTGACTGAGGCCTTCTGCCTATGCTAGGTCAAAAACCTCACTTTATAATACCTATCCAAGGCACCCTAAGGGACAAAAATGAGGAAAAAATCGGGTCTGACAATTATAATATCACCTGTGAGATTGCCCTATTTTAAGACCCCACAATTAAGGGATCAGTCAGCCATTTGTCCTTTTCTCTAGTCCTAGAAATTCTTAGTCATTATTCAGTCTGGCTCCGGACCCTAGAGGACTATGTGGACAGCAATTTTACATGCCATATCATATTTCAGCAAGAAAAAGTAGAAACCATTTACTATAGTTTTCCCTACTGCCACTCACTATGTTCCTGGACTGCACCTCCCAGATGCTCCTTCTATAGGATTTTCAGCTGGACAAGGTCTTTTCTATTTGAACAACCTTTTCCAGGTATAAAGAAGACTTTAGTCATCTTTTTCCCACTACTATCTGATCTAGGTCAGGCCCCTGGTTGACTAGGAGACTTGTAGCAACTTCATAGATTATGCTATTTCATTTAGGAAAATGCCTCCTGATGGCTCTGTTCTACTATTTCAGCACCAAAGTGAAAGCATACAAGGTTGTAATGAAAACAGATTTTTAATATTTCCATCATGTGAGTATTAACAACATGCCCCTTTGTTGAGTTTTCCAAGGGAATGAAGGCATCCAAACTGATGTAGTTGTGCCGTGAGAACATTTGTACACATCTAAAAAATCACCAAAGCAAACACATTTCTCAGCTATAAAGCCTACTCTGTGTTAACAGGATCATGTGAATGTGATGTCCCAAGGCCATTCTCCTTCTATATTTTACAGTGTCACTATTCAGATGTGAAAGGTGAAAGAATGAATGAATGTATGTGCAGGGGGTGGGGAACCTGGTACATGTACTCAACAGGGCTTCCTCAAGAATGAGCTGCATTAAAATATTGGGACAAATGTGCCTAGAAGAGCTTGAACCGTTTGCTACAAATGGATTTGAACTTTAGCACATTTACATTTATCTCTTTTTCAAACTCAAAGGGCAGGAATGTCCAAGTACATTTGTTGGGTTGGTATTTTGCTACATTAATTATTGCTTAAAATAAATGGAGTGGCAATTGGGTCTTTCCATTACATAGAGGTTTCCATGTGATTGGAGCAGTTCAATATATGTTTTATCAAGTAGTAAATCCATAGCTGAAGATATGAAGTAGATATAGCAACAAAATTGCCCTGTACTGCAAATATTCACCTGACTGATGGGGGTAGAGTTAGGAAGGGAAATGAAGTGAGAATAAAGATAGATATAGATATAGATATAGATGTAGATATATAATATAGATATAGATATAGATAGAATAGATATATATATAGAGATATATAGATATATATATAGATATAGATATAGATATAGATATAGATATAGATATAGATATAGATATAGATATAGATATATAGATAGATATAGATATATAGATAGATATAGATAGATATGTATATGTATACACACACATGTATGTATATATAGACATATGTGTCTATATAGAGAGACATATAATTAGCAATGTTTTCATTAGTAGTGAGACAGGGAAGGTGACATGGGTGTGGTCTGGGTGGAGGAAGGGCACCTTAGAACACTCCAAGGTTCTGATCCTGCTAAAAGTGTGGTCAACAAGAGGAAGAACCATATCACTGGTAGAAAGTACAGAGGGTAAGCAGAAGTCAGAGGGCATGAAGCTGGCTGTGGGGCAGGCAGGGGAAGAAAGACATTGGTGGCTATGAAAATTTTCACCCCAGAGTAAAGCTCTAAATGCTCCAACCTAGTTTTATATCTAGACAAGAATACGTTTGATTCAATTCAGTAAATTTATTAAGCACCTACTATGTGCCAGATGTGTTAGGCACTGGAGATATAAGGAGTAAAATAAACCAATTCCTACCCTCAAGGAGCTTACATTCTACTGAGGGAGGGAAAAAAACACACACACAGTAGATAACAAAGAGGTAAGAAACATATACAAAGGAAATAGAAAGTAATTTTTTGAAGGCGAGGGGAACTATATGCTATTATATGACTATTTCCATGCAGATTTTGTTAATAATAGTAACCATAGTAATAGAGAAATGGACTTGGAATCAAGACACCTGAATTAGAATTCTATTTCAGATATTTCCTAGCTGTGTGAACCTAGGCAAGTCACTTAACCTTGGTGTGTCTCAGTTCTCTCATTTGTGAATCAGGGATAATAATAGCACCTACATCCTGGGCTTATTATGAGGATCAAATGAGATAAATGTAAAGTGCTTTGTATACCTTAAAGCTCTATGTAAATCAGAGCTAATTTTATCATTATAACCCTTGAAATGTAAACTCCTCCATTGGAAATCTCCTTGAATCCAGGGCATATTTTTACTTTTTCTTTGTATCTTCCATACTTAGCACATTGCTAGAACATAGTAAGTGCTAAATAAATACTTGTTGATTAATTGGTTAGTTGACCTATTGTGATTCTTATCACTACATGTATTCTTTAGGATCAAACCTCAGGAAAGAGGACTCTGAACAGACCCAGTGATCCATCCTGTGGCACAATAGAAGGAGTATTTGTTTTGATATCAGAGGATCTGATTTTGGATCCTAGCTCTGCTACTTTTGCTCCCTGTGTGGTCATGAGCAAATCAATTCACATCTGTCGGTGAATTATTTGTTGAAGTGGGACTTAGTTTTGTCATTTCTAAAATGAGGACATTGAGGGGAT